CGTTACTCTACTTAAAATAGACAAAGACCACTTATAAATAATAACAACAACAATGACAATAATAATATTTTTTCTTATACAGCCATAAGATCAGATATCTGAATGTGTAATATGGCACATTTGATTTTAACTATATTTATTGTAATATCAGTAAGATACTGTGCAGATCTTAAATAAATAATGTCAAGATATGAGACTTATAATCCATTATAAATTAAGTGGATTTAACATGGTGTTCATTGCATGTTATAATTAATCATATTTCATAAAAGTTATAACCACAAATTTATGAGATGATAAAAACATATACGTTTTATTTATTTTTTTAATAATGCATTCATTATAATGCCTTAGGAATACCCGTATAATGTGTTATAAATACGGGCTTCATAGAAACTGCTAAAACCATGCAGACGTGTAGTGCAACGCAACTAAAGGCAAATCTTCTGACATGAAGGACAGTATCTGTGTGAACCCCACCATGACCTCAGTGGGCGACTCATACTTTATACAATCACTGCTGTACACAAACATTCATTTGCAATGATCTAGCTTCCATTGATTGATTATTTAATCTAGGTTACTGTCCATGGAATCTGTGCCACTGATGTCAAGGTCAACACCAAGGAAGATATTGCCACTGATGTCACCCTCACTAGGGACCTGTCAGGATGTGATACTTTCAAAACCCAAAGAAGCCTTACTAGCCCTCTTGCCATCATCACTGGTTTGGTGAGACAATCACTTTTTTAATATATCATAGCATCTGCTGGGTGAAGCTTTAAATCATTGCTTCTTAGTCTATTTTTATTTAAAAATTAAATTCAGTTTCATTAATTATCATCCTCAGTGCAATTTACCAATTACAGAATGTTTAAATAAACAGGTAATGATTAGGCAAGTAAACGCTAACCAATACTGACAAAATCAGGATATCATACAGACTGAGCCAACAACAGGTGAAAAAATAATTTTCAAGAAACAGATAATGTACTTAAAATTATATTTGTTTGTCAAAAGCAATACCCTCTGTCCAAGCTGATTGGCAGTACCCAGACTTGCAACTATAAGTTTGACAACCAGAAGAAGCACATGACCTCTGCCACGTGCACAGAGAAGCACATATTCCTTCCTTTCTCTTACCAGTGAGTGACACTGACATCATATTACTTGCTACATTTTATAATGATATCTGTGCATAAATGGAACATCATATTTTAATTCATTTATATGTATTTCATTTTCTTTGCAGGAATACGTATGGTATTTCTTCTCTTGTTTATAATGTATTATAATTGTTGTTATGATTATTTATGAGATGAAACAACATAACATATTATTATTTTATATATAATGCATTATGCATTCATTATAATGCCTTAAGAATACCCTTATAATGTGTTATAAAAATGGGCTTCATAGAAAGTGTTACCACTTTTTCTACTGGAGAAAGCAAGATTATGGATAGAGAACTCGTATTTTAGCCCAAATCAATGATTTGAAGTTTAAAATGTCTTAATAATGGATTTGTTTCTTACAAAGACACAGCTTTTGTCTTCTCCAGATGTTATCTGATGGATTGGAGTGCTGTGGATTATTGTGATGTTTTTATCAGCTCTCATTCTGACGGCACCCATTCACTGCAGAGCATCCGTTGCTGAGACACTGATGCAATGCTGCATTTCTCCAAACCTGATGAAGAAACACACTCATCCTAATCTTGGATGGTCTGAGGGTGAGCACATTTTCACAGTATAAAATATTAGAAAAATAAACGGTCTGCTATTTTAAAAAGCATTTATGCCATTAACACATTGCCACAAAAAATAACTTCAACTCATCACTCGGGGTTTGCAAAAATAATAATGGCTACAGTAATGCACTAAATGAAAGTGAATAGGACAGTGCAATGCAAACATTATCATGCACTGGCACACAATGCAAAATATGAAATATTTTGGAATATTGCAGTGTATATAAATAGTTTACTAACCTCCAGTAACCTGTCACTTCAAGTCAATTCCTGATAAACAAAATCAAATCCCACATTAAGATGATTGCAATTTCTGAATCATGCCAAAATAAAATGAAACAAAGAGCACAAGTGCATGTTTTTTTTTCTTTCTGTTAACTCTGGGGACAAACGTAGCAAATATTTTCTATAGCAATAGCCACAAATGCTGTTTATAGGGTCTGTCTTATATTCAATTTGGAATATTCATTTGATTATGTGCAGATGTTTGCTTTCACAGGATTCCTCAAAATAATGTCCAATTTTGTATATCTACACTACTGCTCAAAAGTTTGGAATAATTATGGTTTATTAAAGGGATAGTTCACCCAAAAATGAAAATTACTCACCCTCAAACCATCCTAGGTGTGTATGACTTTCTTCTTTCAGACAAATACAATCGGAGTTATATTAAAAAAATTATAAAGGTTTATAATGGCAGTGAATGGGTGTTGAGATTTTGTAGTCCAATAAAGTGCATCCATCCATCATAAAGAGTGCTCCACACGGCTCCGGGGTGTAAATAAAGGCCTTAAAGAAGCAAATCGATGTGTTTGTGTAAGAAAAATATCCATATTTACAACTTTATAAACTGTAATCTCTAGTTTCCGCTAACTGTCGTACGTGCGTTCACGAGAGAGTGGCGTCCAGCCGAGGACGTAGGCGTCATAAAGAGTGCTCCACACGGCTCCGGGGGTGAATAAAGGCCTCCTGTAGCGAGTCGAGTTAGAAAGATATCCATATTTAAAATGTATAAACCGTAATCTCTAGCTTCTGCTGACTGTTGTACACGCGTTCACGACAGAGTGGCATTCCAGCAGATGACGTAGGCGTCGTGTAAGCTCGTCTGGATATTTTTCTTACACAAACGCATCGATTCACTTTAGAAGGCCTTTATTCACACCCGGAGCCGTGTGGAGCACTTTTTATGACGGATGGATGCACTTTATTTTGCTTCAAAATCTCAACAGCCATTCACTGCCATTATAAAGCTTGGAAGAGCCAGGATATTTTTTAATATAACTCCGATTGTATTCGTCTGAAAGAAGAAAGTCATACACACCTAGGATGGCTTGAGGGTGAGTAAATCATGGGCTAATTTTCATTTTTGGGTGAACTATCCCTTTAATGTTTTCGTTTTTTATTTGGTTTTTGAAAGAAGTCTCTTCTGCTCACCAAGGCTGCATCAAAAATGCAGTAAGAAACAGTGACATTGTGAGATATTTTTACAATATAAAATAACTGTTTTCCATTTGAATATATTTTAAAATGTAATCAGTTGCTATGATGTATTTTCAGCATCATAACTCCAGTCTTCAGTGTCACATGATCTTCAGAAATCAGTATAATATTTGCTGCTCAAGAAACATTTCTGATTATTATCAATGTTGAAAACAGTATTTGCCTTTAAAATAGGTTTGTGTAAATCATACACTACTGTTCAGAAGTTTGGGATGAGTAATAAACGCTGTTCTTTTGAACTTTCTATTCCTCAAAGAATCCTGAAAAAAGTATCATAGTTTTCATAAAAATATTGGGACTGTTTCCAACATTGATAATAATAAGAAACACTATTAATAATTGAGCACCAATTGATAAAATCGAGCACCAAATCAGCATATTAGACTTGTTTAGACTAGACATTGTGTGACACTTAAGACTTAAGAGTAATGATGCTGAAAATGCAGCTTTGCATCGCAGGAATAAATTACATTTTAAAATATATTCAAAGAGAGAAATGTTATTTTCTGTTTTAATGCATTTTTGATCAAATAAATACAGCCTCGATGAGCACAAGAGACTTCTTTAAAAACACTTTTTAAAAAAAAATCTTAATTATTTCAAACTTTCGTCTGGTATTGCACATGTGTATCGAGGACATTATGATTATTTTAAATAAATAAAATATATACATTGTTATGGTGCAGTTCCTCAAAATCATTATTGCAATGCTTTGCATTATTGTTCTTTTCAACAGGCCACATCCAAACAACTCAGACTATCCAGTGCCATCATGCACAGTACCCTTCATGCCTGTGGAGACAGCATCATCTAGTGCAAATAGAGGGGTGGAGCACGAGTACCACAGCACTGGAGGGCCTGTAGGGCTGGGTGATGTACAGTAGGTTACAGAGTGAGTGTACTCCTCCACAGTACCCACCCCCTGAAAATGGAGTCAATGGAACCATCACGCTTCCACCAGCAGACTATGAGTAACAGCAAACATGTGCGACTCTGCCAGTTTAAATAAACGAGATATTGTAGATTTGTGTTGGAAAATGTCTTAGTCTGCTGCGATGCACTAGTGTCCCACATACACCATACAAGCATAAAACATTATTTATAGGGTAGCTTATATGATAAAATTAGCCTACAGCTTAAGGTATATGTCTAGTGTAAATCTTTTACAACTTGCTGTTTTTTTTTTTTCCATTGCTTACATGCTTTTATGGTCAAATTGTTATATAAACCCATGTTAATTTTGACCATGAACAATGCACTGTCACTTTAACAGCAGCGCTGCTGCTTCTCTTTCACTTAATTGTGTTGAATATGCACTTGTAGTGTATTGCAAATCTTTAAAGTATATATATACTGTATATATATATATATATATATATAAACTGTACTGGCAAAGAATAAACAAGCAATGAAATAAAAGGCCTCTTAAGTGTACTTACAGAGAAACACTTTCATGACTGTGTTTCTTAACACACTTAAGTAGACTTTTAAACATTTTGCAGGCGTCAACAGGAGAGCGTTGTCCACGGTGGCACACTTTAACATGACCACAGTACAGTACAGGCTTGTGAAGAAGAAGTACACTTCAGCATACTTTTAAAAAGTGTATTTATTATGAAAATAATATACTTTAAAAGAATATACTTAAGTGCGAACTGAATGTAATGTGTTCTGACAGTAATTGTATGTTAAATGCAATTGAAAGAAAGTTTATTATAGTGTACGTTTATATTTAATGCGATTAGTTGAACTTTAGAGTGGTTTTTGGACTTGCTGTTGTGTTTTTTGCCAAATTGTTATATAAACCCATGCTAATTTTGACTATGAACAATGCACTGTCACTTTAACAAAATCTTTAAAGTATATATATATATATTAAAAACTGTACTTGCAAAGAATAAACAAGCAATGAAATAAAACTTAAGTGTACTTATAGAGAAACACTGTCATGACTGTGTTTCTTAACACACTTAAGTAGACTTTTAAAAAGAGCACTTTGTAATAATGTCAAATTAAGTGTTTTACTTTAAAGTAAAATTTAAATAATTATGTTTTAATAATCATTTTAGTTGTGCTTTAAAGAAATACATTTCTTTTTATATGGTGACTAATATATTGTACTTGATTATCATTTTAACTGTGATGTGTTATTTAGTGCTACATTTACAGTCAGTATATTTTAAATCAATAAGCCCCAAGAAGCCGTGGTTTATTGCTTTTATAAAAGAGTTATTCCATATATGTAGTTAGGTTTCACAAAATAAAACAGAGCAAATAAAGTGCACTAATATGCACCTTTTCTAGGTAGATAATGTATAGAGTTTCCCATTTATGGGTGCTTTCCCAGTGATCAGCAGTTGTACCCCTAAAAGTACCATTTCTGCCAAGATAAAAGAGCTGCCCACAAAACTATTGATTTCAGATGTTAATGCATGAATTTTGACAGTTCTAATTGTAATGTAAATTTAGGTTTATTCATGTGGCTTGGTTGATAACTTGACTTTAAGAAGTCAACAATCCCGTCAGCTCTTCCATTCAGCCATTCAATCAAACAGCTCTTCCCAATTTAGACTGTTTTTTTATTTTTATTTTTTCACTTCACTTAGTTAAGGGCTAAATGTATGGCTGTTAAAATGACCACAATGCATTCTGGATATTCCCTATTGAAGATCTTGCTGATTTAAGACCTAAACATGTAGCGGTGTCTGAACACAATGGTGGGGGATTACAACATTTTAATGATTCAAACCCACTGTTGGGTGCATTGTAGGGCTCATGAATGGGATAAGTTAACAGACCACAATAGTGGCATTAGTGCTAAACTGATGGACGATGTATGATGGAAGCTTTATGACATTTTATGAATGTATTTGAAACATCTTGCAAGCATAGTTTTTATAGTTGCAAGCATAGTTTTGAGTTCGATTTTTAGATGTATTTATTTTTATAGGTCCCTTTCCACAATCACAAAAGAAGCAAATAATTAGTTTGTTAAATAGCTTAAAAGAATGTCTGTTAATACTTGATTATGAGAGGAGAATT